TTCAGCTGTCTGCGGCTGCACCCCTCACCTCTGTCTCTCCTCGCAGCTGCATCTCTGTCCTGAAATCCTCCAGGCTTCCCAGAATGCTGTGCGGCAGCACCATCCCCTGCGAGTCAAACCGCGGCCCACCAGGACCTTTGACACACAGAGAGAGTTTAAAACATCAATCACACTGAACTTCCTGTTCTGACCCAAAGCCACGCCCACTAACCTGCATATTCAAATAGTTGGGGCGGGGCAACATCCTGTGGGAGGGGCCTCACTATGGTGACTCTAACCGCTCTGCTGACTTCGTCTGGGGGGCGTGTCTTACGGACGTAAACACGGGTCATCGATTTGGGCTTCTGGGAATCGGAAGGAGGTTTAGGGACTCGCAGCTGCAAAGAAAAAAGCAACAAGACATGATATACAACACAGAAGATACGGAAACACCTCCAGATGTAACATCAGTGTGAATGAGGGGTAAAACACACACTCTCTCACCCGCTCCAGGTCTTGAGCTGTGATGGCCAGACTCTGGATGTCGTGTCCGTTCAGAGCCGGACTGTGATCTTCCTCACCCACATATGAGGATGATGATGAGATCTCCTCACAGCCTCCCAGCAGCTTCTTATCTGACACAGCAGAGGAGAGGAGGACGAGACAAACCACAAACCCACACACCTGTGAAAATGTGACTACTCAAACCAGGTCGGTCAAAAGATTATAATTATATACTGTGATTCATATCAAGCTATTGTGACATTTAATGCTATTCATTTAACATTTTAAATTGCTTTTCAAAGAAAGCATACTTTGATTTTTGCAAAAACATGCATGTGTTTTTAAACATCGTTAAGATTTTGTAATATTTTGCTCACCAAGGCTATTATTTGATCAAAAATACAGTAAAAGGGTGAAATATTATTACAATTTAAAATAGCTGTTTTCTATGTGAATACATGTTAAAATGTAATTTATTTCTGTGATCAAAGCTGAATTTTCAGCATCGTTTCTCCAGTCTTCAGTGTCACATGATCCTTCAAAAATCATTCTGATTTGCTGCTCAAGAAACATTTCTGATTATTATCAGTGCTGAAAACAGTTGTGCTACTTCATATTTCTGTGGAAACTGTATTACATTTTATTTTTTCAGGATTCACAGATGAATAGAAAGTATAAAAGAACAGCATTTATTTGAAATAGAAATATTTTATAACATTATCAATGTCTTTACTGGGATCAATTTAATGCATCTGCTGAATCAAAAAATTAAAAATAAATAAATAAATGTGACCCCAAACTTATGAACGTAGTGTAAATGGTGTGAATTTACGTTCCTCATCAAACATAAAAATATGCAGAACTCTAAACTTTATTAGACACATTTTAACTCACAAAAACCGACTGCTAAAAGATCATTACAGTGTCATTTCTATGAACAATGTCTCTTCTAAAAAAACATATACCAACAAAAGAAGAAAAACACAAGCACTGCTAGTGTAAATGTCAGTAAGTGACTATCAAAGCAACGAGACAAAACACTGACGTAAAGTGATGAGAGCAAATAATCAATTCTGATATATGATCAAATATGACAGCGGCTTTCAGCTATGGAAACACCTGAAGGTGCATGGAAACAGACACATGCCTTTCATATGTGCCTTTTATACTTAGCTCTAGTTTGGGGAAAAATATTCCCCCAAAGTGGCAGAAAACCAATTAAAAATGTATGTATTTTCTATTAATTGTAAACATTCAACAAACATTTTGCATTTAGAAAAAATACCCCCCCCCCCCAACATAAGCGCAATATAACAAGACATTATTATATTATGTTTATTATATTATATTATTGCAACTTTTTGAAAAAATATAATTGCCAATATAAACAAAAAAAAAATAGAATGTTAATGCATTTAAAATTATCATCAGCACAATATCATAACAAATTATTACAATGTATTGTATTACATATCAATATGGTAAAATATTATATTATTTGAGAAAAATTCAAATTGACAATATATGACAAAAATAAATAAAACATAAAACTTACATTAGTGCAATATAACAACAAATCATTATATTATATATAAATATTGAAAATATAATATAATTTGAGATAATTGAAAATTTTACAGTTTAAAATTAAATAATATTAGAATGATGAATGTTAATGAATTCAACACACATTACATTAGTGTAATATAACAACAAATTATGATAAATATAATATAATATAACATAATATATATAACATCCTTTATTTGACCCTCTAACTCTAGCACGTTCTATTCTATTTTAATTCTACTTCATCTATATTTATCTTCTTTTTTTATTAAAAAACAAACAAACACTAGCTTTCTATTTTTTCTATTCTATCTGCATGTTTTTTCTTTGTGTGTGTGTGTATAATATATATATATACAGTGGTGTTTTTCTGTCAATGTGGGGTGCTGTGTGTACATTAATGAGGAAAAAAAATTAACTTAAATGATTTTAGCAAATGGCTGCAATATAACAAAGAGTGAAATTTAAGGGGGTCTGAATACTTTCCGTACCCACTGTGTATATATATATATACCTTGCTACATATACTGCGTTAGGCTAACCGAGACTTGTCATTTGCACTTATATATTGTTGCTCTTTTGTTAGTTTTGACTGCTTTTATTGTCCTCATTTGTAAGTCGCTTTGGATAAAAACATCTACTAAATGACTAAATGTAAATGTAAATCAAATGTCTTATAAACATTTGTGTGAGGGTTAGGTTTAGGGCTAGGGCATGGAAAATATCATTAGTTCATTATAAAAGAATAGAAGTCGATGGAAATTCCCACTATAGAACAAATGTGTGTTTAGACAGAGAGAGAAGAGCAGCCCACACAGATGAGAGTGAATACTAATGAGTCACTAGAAGCTCTACACTGACTCCAGCTGACCGAGTGTACACTCACACACACACACACACACACAGTCATTTAGAGCGGACATGCTGTTATATAAGCCTGCACATCCTCAGCGTTCTGGAGACGGATGAGCGTTGCCATGGTAAAACACAATAACTTTTCCCCTGCTGCTGCCAGTCTTTCCATCCGAGGAGTCAGAACATCCTGTATAGTTTCACAGGTGGAGTGGAGAAAAGCGGTGAGACTGGTCTCTAAAGTATGGAGGATTCACAAGAGGACAACAAATGAGGGAAAGTCTTTTTTCTGCTCCATCTCTCTCTGACAGGAGCATCATGGACCGATTGTGGGAAGTGAGAAAGTGAGGATGACTGGAGACCATGATGTGCTCATAGCATGTCATATTCACATACACATACACACACACACACACACACACGCACACGCACACGCACACACACAGACACACACACACACTACACACACACACACGCACACACACACACACACACACACACACACACACCAGTGTCTCTGTCACAGCGACTGCAAAGAAGTATTTGGACACTTCAGCTACACTTAGAAATGTCTTTAGATCATTTCATTAGACAATAAGCAAGTGCCCTTTATTGCAAATAAACAGCACAGGTTTGTTATTAATCTACACTGTATATAAACCGAATTATAAACTGCTTGATCTGGTGTCTGTTTATTCATTGAGGCATATTTGAGAAGGACTAAACATGTTCAGATGTTGATATTAATATGATAATAGGCCTTACCTGATGGAGATCTCGTTTCTCGTTTATTAATCCTGCTGCTTGATTTCCCGACACTCGCCATGAAGCCAGACCTCAATCAAACCGCAGCTACGAACAAACAAGATAACTCCTCAAACTATGGTGAAACCTAGCAGCTGTGTGTTATTGCAGAAAGTTTACTCGGATAGAGACCCGCTGCGTCTCTGTTTACAGCGCCTTACTTCCGTGTACAGACGTGTTGCCGTAGCAACGGGTGCGCAGTGAGCCGTTAAAAGCAAAGGGATCATGCGCGCAGTTAGCGCAAAACAAACAAACAAACAAAAAATAATACAAAAGTGTAAGATGAGGTAAGTTTTAAAATCATATTTGCCGTAGATCACAGATTCAAATTAGGAAAGAATAAGCATAAAACAACACAGAAAAACATTGTCTCCGAAATTCCATTTGCCTAATTGTTTTTGTTTATTCGATCAATATCGTTACACTGTTACGTTTTTTGTGTGTGTAGCAAATACAAAAAAAATGCAATATCTACAAAATATTTTCAATTTCTTAGTTGTTTTCATATTTCAAAAAGTATTGTAGGCTACCTATTTTGTGTCATGTGACAAGAAAAAACGATTTCTGCTTTTTACCCTCCGGGACATCCTTTGAAACACATATTGAATGCATTAATAATACATTAATAATCTTAAAGCGCTATTATCATGTGTTTGGAACAAAACATTAAAAATGCAATTCATACAAAACATGTTTTATGATGGACATGTTTTTTATATTTCAAAAACTCCTATTAAAATACTTAAAATGTGGCTTAACAGGAAGCCATTTTGTGTCATGTGACAAAACCCGTAAAGCAAGACCCCTTCAGACCCTCACGATTTCATTCATTCATTCCTTTTTATTAAAACAAAAAACTACCTGCAAAAAGGTTACCTGCATGTCACTTTAAATAAAAAAGTGTCTCCCTAATGCATAAAAGTAAATAGCCACGTTTAGTAAATTTGTATTGTATGGTAAATATATAATATTTGTAAAAACATAACATGTTCTAATATGATTTCTAATATGAACGATTTTTCCTTTTTACCCTCTCGGACATCCTTTGATACACATATTGAATGCATTAATAATAAATTAATGTAGGCTACTGTCTTTTATTCCATAACGCTTTCCATTGAAATTAGTTTTATTTTCATTTATTTATTTAAACTTACTCTGACCTAATTAGAGCCGCAGCAAACAGACTTCATCGCAGCTGTAGGCTGTGCTAATTATGAGAGCTGGCCTATATCATCGCGCGCTGCTCCGGGAAACGTTTTGTTCCTCGCGGATACAAGATAGATCTCGCACCTGTCAATCACACCGATGACGCGCGCGCGGGTTTATAAGCGGCGCGCCGCGAGCGCACCTAAGTACTTCTCCAGAGCGCACAAGCAGAGGTGGATGCATCCGAACGATATCACACAGATCTGCCTGTCTTCGATGTGTTCCGTCATGGAGCAGAGCGTTAAAGCGGCCGCAGCCCTGCAGGTGATCCAGACGCGCAGCTCGCCCAGCGTACTGCTCGCGTACAAAAGCGTGACGCAACGATTCGGCGCGACCGGGTTCAGCGTCAGCACGCTCTCCAAAGCAGGACTGGGAATCCTCAAACTGGCCACGACGCAGCTGAAGCAGCAGGAACAGAAGGCGCGGGTGGTGCGTGCGTCCAGTCTGGGTAAAGCGCACCCCGCGTCCGTCGATAAAAAGTCCCCTCTGGACCTGCTGGCCGCGCTTGTCCTGCACGGCAACGCACGCCTCCCGCCGCTGGCGAACGACTCGCATGTCGCCAAGCCGCAGAACTGCAGGCGCATCGTGGTGCTCGGCGCGCCGCGCGTCGGGAAGACCTCCATCCTGCGCCGCTTCCTGCGCGACGGCTTCGAGGAGCGATACGAGCCCACGAGTGAGGATTTCCACCGGAAACTCTACCAAATCCGCGGAGAGACTTACCAGATAGACATACTGGACGCGTCCGGGGAGAGGAGCTTCCCCGCCAAGAGGAGGCTGTCCATCCTGACAGGTGCGTGAACGTTTCTAATACGCTCTTATCAAGAATAGTTTTAGCTGTACAGCGCTCCTGCTGAGATGTTCTGGAGAACTTGGTGTTCTTCACTTTGGTCCTTCAGATCAGTGTCAGTGATTTTCCAAAGCACCATTAAACTGATGAAGATCTAGACAGTGAACAGTTATTTGTGGAACCAAAAAGTGTTCCGCTTTCTTGGAATCTTGTTTCTGGAAATATTTTACGCACTATTTATTTGTGTATTTAAAAGTTTCAAATACGCTCTCATGAGGAACAGTTTGGGATGTACAGCGTTCCTGAATTTCTGTATGGCTTGATGATGGCTTTATAATTGCTGCATGAAGTTGTTGGAGTCACATTGGGTTTCCAAGGCACAAATGGAGAGCTAGATAATAAAAAAGTTATTTGTGGGGGAAAAAGTTAAAACTGAATTAATGTACTTGTTTTAAAATCATCATGCAAGGATTCCCAGACAGCAACATAGTGTTGGCCCAGATCCGGCCCACATCTGGCCCATGTGAAATCCATGCGGGCCAGATGTGGGCCGAAACGGTCTGCTGTCTGGGTTCAGTCTCAGATTTTATAGACATTAGCCTTCTGATAGAATAACGATAGAATATTGTTTTTTTTCTAGTAAATAAATATGGCACCAAGAACAAAAATGAGATACTTTGACTATTTATTTTAAATTCAATTAAAGGAAATTAATTCTTGAACTGATGCTTTTCTCCAATAAACGTAAATTGAGTGAATCAGCATAATGAATTTCCATAAAGCCAACGCGTGTTCATTAATTCAGAAAACGGAACATAAATCATAATTATGTTACCTAGCATAAATACATCTATGATATTGCAATCGCTTTTAAATCATCTAATTGTTGATGCCAATACTTGGGAGTGTCAAACTTGGTTTAATTCCAACAGCGCTGCATTTTCTTAATAGCCTAGAATGAGATGTTTCATATGTCAGATATTGACCCTCTGTCGTCTCTTCTGTGTTTTTAGGTGATATATTCCTGCTCGTCTTCAGTCTCGACGACCGCAGCTCGTACGAGGAAGTGCGCGCTCTGCACGCCGAGATAGTGGCGGCCAAAACGGCGCTGCGCCGATCCAAACAGAAGGCGTGCGTGCCGACGGTGGTCTGCGCGAACAAGGTGGACTTGCCCTCGGAGCAGCGCGCGGTGTCGCGGACCGAGGTGCTCCGCGCGCTCGGTAACGGCTGCGCTCTGTTCGAGACCTCCGCCAAAGACAGCGTCAATCTGGAGCAGGTGTTCGAGGCGCTGGCGCGGCGCGGCGGCCTCCCCCTCGAGACCGGACCCTCGCAGCACCGCAAAGTGTCCATCCGCTCGTACCAGGCGCTGCGGGCGGCGCGGCAAGCGGAGAGAGGGAGCACGGCGGCGGCGTGCGACGCTCCGTGCGGGGCGCTCTTCCCGCTGGCCCGCAGACCGAGCTTCGGCACCGACCTGCGGCTGGTCCTTGGGCCCAAAGCCAGCAGAAAACAGAGCAAAGCGCTGGACAAGTGTCAGATTCAGTGAAACAACTCCGACTGAGAGAAAGAGAACCGCTTTCAACAAAGAACACTGACGATATTGCAGATACTTTGATATGTGTTTCTTTTGGAGATAGATCAGAATCGTTTTTATACATTATATGTGACCCTGGAGCACAAAAGCAGTCTTAAGGGGAAGGGGAAGTCGTGGCCTAATGGTTAGAGAGCCGGACTCGTAACCTAAAGTTTGTGGGTTCGAGTCTCGTACCGGCAGGGATTGTAGGTGGGGGGAGTGAATGTACAGCGCTCTCTCCCTTCAATACCACGACTGAGGTGCCCTTGAGCAAGGCACTGAACCCCCAACTGCTCCCTGGGTGCCGCAGCATAAATGGCTGCCCGCTGCTCCGGGTGTGTGTTCACGGTGTGTGTGTGTGTTCACTGCTGTGTGTGTGCACTTTGGATGGGTTAAATGCAGAGCACTAATTCCAAGTATGGGTCACCATACTTGGCCACATGTCACGTCACTTTTTTTCACTTTAAGTCGCTGGGGTATATCAATAGCCAACAATACATTGTGTGGGTCAGAATGATCGATTTTTCTTTTATGCCAAAAATCATTAGGATAAAGTAAATGTTCCATGAAGATATTTTGTACATTTCCTATTGTAAATATATCAACTTAATTTTTGATTAGTAATATGCATTGCTAAGAACTTAATTTGGATAACTTTAAAGGCGTGTGTGCACTTTGGATGGGTTAAATGCAGAGCACTAATTCCAAGTATGGGTCACCATACTTGGCCACATGTCACGTCACTTTTTTTCACTTTAAGTCGCTGGGGTATATCAATAGCCAACAATACATTGTGTGGGTCAGAATGATCGATTTTTCTTTTATGCCAAAAATCATTAGAATAAAGTAAATCTACTCAATGCATTTTAATGTGGGAGGAACAATGACACATTTATGTAAACTTTAGGTTTAACACAACAGATCCCCATTGCAAACCCCTTGTTGAAGATCTCTGCCATATTTAATGACTTGAATGAAAATACTGTGATTATGTCTAAGAAGAAAAATTGACCCTTATGACTGGTTTTGTGGTCCAGGGTCACATATATAGAACTGACCATTGCATTTTAATCCTGGCCTATAAAATGCATTGTTGCATATGCTGACATTGCAAAGCCATTAAAATATTTTTAACTGATGTACAGAGTAATTTTAATTCTACTCAATGCATTTTAATGTGGGAGGAACAATGACACATTTATGTAAACTTTAGGTTTAACACAACAGATCCCCATTGCAAACCCCCTGTTGAAGATCTCTGCCATATTTAATGACTTGAATGAAAATACTGTGATTATGTCTAAGACATGATGAACCGAATTGACTTGAGGCCGCTTTTATCGCTTTTATCAGAGCCTTGTTTATGTCTTTCTGATGAAGATCCACTGAGAATGATTGAAAAGCCTGTTGAGCGACTGGTTTGTTTGAATGCATGTGATCCTGTATACTAGACATTTGAAATAAAAAATTTTCATACAAATCCTGACGTCATGAGTCAGTCTGATGATTTGGTGAAAAGCTGTACTAACAGATGCCACCTCAGTCTTGTAATGAAGTAGAGAGTAGTGTGTCACGATTCATTCATTCAAAATAAATAAACAATTGAGAGCCTGTGGGCATTTAGATGAAATGATAGAGCCTTGACTCTCTCTGATTGCATAAGAGCCTTTACATGCTGCTGCCGCACAGGATGTGCTGTGAGAAAGAGAGGAAACTATCTATCTGTCTGTCTGTCTGTCGTCTGTCTGTCTATCATCTGTCTGTCTATCTATCTACCTACCTATCTATCTATCTATCTGTCTGTCTGTCTG